TAAAAATCTTTATATTTGAGGATATGAATATAGAGTATGTAGTCCATTTAAGGAAGACAGTAAGTAAAACATTTCAAACACTGGCTTGGAGGGTCCCAAGGACCTATGCTGATTCTTGGACTCATTGACTCACTCTCTCCTCAGCATCATATTTGGACTCATGTGAACCATGAAAAGAAAAACACAAACATAAGAGGTAATTGAAACATTTAGAGGATATTAATTCACTTGAAATCTCCTATTACTATACGTTGGAAGCTGGTGCTGTCCTCAATCTCCCAGTATCCCTGGAAATTATTGCCAATAGTACTGCCAATTCTCTACAAGCACTCCACAAATACTCCAAAAGTTCTCCATTGATAAGTCACCTACAATTTTCTCTCTGCTTCTTAGAGCAGAGTCTATACCATAGTCAATCCCTTCTCCTGTGCCTACTTCAATCACCCTGAGCAGCCTCCATACCACGTGGAGCCTTATGTAGTACCATGTGACAACTGAAGACATGATCTAGACCTTTTCTCCTCAACTCCTTGGTTTATGCATGTTGTCTTGGGTCTACAATCTCATTCAAGTATTAATCTCTATGTTCATTGTTTAAACTTTTTCTCATCCTACAATTCTGTATATGTGTGACCAGACTTCTCTGCCATCGTAAGATTGGCAATACCACCTGACTGCATGTTTACAGAGATATTCAGGATGGATTTCACTGAGTGAAGGTGCTCAGTCTTCAAAAGGGGGCTGTGTGGAGGACCAGATAGAAAGGCCTTATATTTATTTTTCTTGGCATGACTGATTCCATCTTGCACCAGCTTCTAGTTAGTTAAAACTAGTTCATGTGCGTTTCTTGGAATTTGAGTTCACCTCACCCTTAGCAAGTGAAAAATAGTTTGTCCCACTCTACTTGCAAGGCTGAGAGTCTGACCAGTTCTGCTTGTGAGGATAAACTATGAAGTAGAACAAATTGCTCTTCTTTATTTGAAAAACTAACCAGAGGCAAAACCAGGGATATACAAATATAAAAGTCTGCTGCATGCTCAGTACAGTTCTTTCATCTAAATTTATGTCCCTATTCCTGAATTAAACTTTCTCTGACCTGAACCAAAGATTTGAGCTGTTGTTCTTGCCACAATATTTAATTCCCTTTTCATCTACCAGCCCTTCAAATATTTGAAGAGAACCCTCTTAAGTCTCCATCCTCCAAACTCAATATCTCTAGTTCCTTTCACTTGTTCTCATATGGGATGCTCTCTCAAGGTCCTTCCCCATCCTGGTGGCTCTCTCTTTATCAATAGTGCCCCCAAAACAATACTCTAGATGTGGTCTGACTATGGTAGAATATAATGGGATTATCTATTCTCTTGTTAGCCCTCTATATTATACCTCTTCTAATGTAGCCAAAGATGGCATTAGTTCATCTGCAAGGGTAAGTGGAAAGACCTGGGATCCCAAAGGGTACAAGTGGCAAGGAGGATGGCACCACCTAGGCATCTGGAGCATGCCATAGCAAGAGGGAAGGCAAGATTGTGAGTTCATCTTTACCCATGAGAAAGTGCACATTCCTAGAGGCAGCTAGGTGGTATAATGGTTAGAGTGCTGGGCCTGAAGTCAAGAACAGTTGAGTTCAAATCTAGCCTCAGCTATTTCCTAGCTGTGTGACCTTGGGCAAGTCACTTGACTTCTGTTTGCCTCAGTTTCATCAACTATAAAATGGGGATAATAACACTACCTACCTCACAGGGTTGTTGTAAGAAAAAAAGAGATGATATTTGTAAAGCTCACAGCACAGTGCCTGGTGCATCTGTAGAAATGCTTGCTCCTTCCTCCCTTGCTGAAGATGAACCCCGTGGGCTTTGTAACCTGGCAACTGTCAATGGACTAGAAGCTAGGTGCAAGATGGAATCAGTCATGTCAAGAAAAATAAATACAAGGCCCTTCTACCTGGTCCTTCACACAGCTCCCTTTTGAAGACTGAGAAGCCTTACTCAGTGAAATCCATCCTGAATATCTCTGAAAATACACAGTAAATACCCAGGAATGCTAAGATTGCAGCTCCTCCTGGGGCCTCAGGCCCCATAGCTCTCACAGCCTCAGACAGGGGTGGGACTAGGGCTAGGTCTAGAGACCCTCGGTAGTTACCACAACGGCCAATCCTGCCTCCTGAAACATCGGAAATGGTAGCTGTGAAAACGTGTGTGTGTGTGTGTGTGTGTGTGTGTGTGTGTGTGTGTGTACATTCTGCACCTCTCAGTCACGAGGTGGGTAGCTTACTTCATCATTAATCCTCTGGAATCATGTTTGGTCATTACACTGATCAGAATTCTTGATTCTTTCAAAGTTGTCTGTCTTTACTATATTTCTTTACTAGTTCTATTCATTTCAATCTGCATCGATTCATACAAGTCTTCTCAGGTTTCTCTGAATCCATCTCCTTTATCATTTCTTGCAGCGCTACAGAAATTCCTCACATTTATATACCACAATTCATGCAGCCATTACCCCATTTATGGGCACTGTCAGATTTCCATTCTTTGCCATCTCAAAATGGGCTACAAATATTTTTGTACAACCTTAGAGTTTGTTTTGTTTAGGAATAATCCCTCCCTTAATCTGCCCTCCCTCTAATTATTTTTTTTTCCTTTTCTCCTCTTTCCCTCCTATTTTCCTGTTGAATGAAATGTATTTCTGTCCCCGGCTGTGTGCATGCATGTGTGTGTGCATATTTTTCCCTCTTTTGGTTCAGATTAGAGTGAGGATTAAGTTACCACTACTCTCCCCACTCTCTCCTCTTTGTTTGCATAGATGTCTAGTTCTACACCCTGATTATATGAGATAATTTCCCCTAACCTTACCTTTTTATGTTTACTTAACTCTAGCATTTGTACTTCAAAGTTTCACAGAACTAGGGTTCAGACTTGAACCCAGGTTGTCCTGGCTCCCAGGCTAGCCCTCTATCCACTCACTATATCAAGTTGCTTATATATGGGTGTGCATGCACACACACATGCACACATACACAGAGGTAACTAGTTCTGGAGTTACAAGTCCTGGGTTCAAATCCTGGCCCTGATAATTACTTTGTGACCTTAGACTAGTACCAACTTCCCTGGGCCTTAGTTTCCTCATCTGTAAAATTAGAGGGTTGGATTTAATGGCCTCTGAGTTTCCTTTAGGCTGCAGGTATATGTCTAGAGACTTAATACACACGTATATGTGTATATGTGTGTATGTGCATGTGTATTGTATATGTACGTATATATATATATTGTCTGTTTCAGTTGTGTCTGACTCTTCATGACCTCATTTGGGATTTTCTTGGTAAAGATACTGGAGTGGTTTGCCATTTCCTTCTCCAGCCCATTTTACAGATGAGGAAACTGAGGCAACCAGGGTTAAGTGACTTGCCCAGGGTCACATACCTGAGTGTCTGAGGCCAGATTTGAACTGAGGAAAATACGAGTCTTCCTGACTCCAGGCGTGGCAATCTAACCACTGCGCCACCTAACTGCCCTTATGTATATGTATGTATGCACGTAAGTCTGTATGTAGATAGATAGATATGTGTCCAAACACAGAGACTTGGTGGCTTAAATGGCTTCATGTTATAGTTTTGGAGATATGATGTTCATCCACATTATAGACATAAGCAAGTCTGATGATGTTCTACAGTTTGACATAAATAGTTCAGTATCATCTATGAGATGATGTTATTAATAAGAATCCTTTTGCTTGGAATTTACATTGGACATCTTTCTTGACACTGACGAATACACCTGCTTTGTACCTTCCTTGATGTCAAGCAAGTTCAGATCCTTGAACAAAGTCATCCCCATAGCTGCACCTGCCACAGAATCCTGCATAATTTAAATTTACATATGGATTTAATTTATGTGTGTGGTTTGTTCTATGGAACCAATTACTTATTTGTGCCAAAGTCAGAAGGAAACTTTGGCTATTTGGGCTTTCTCATTCTTTGGATTCTGGATAAACAGGAGTTTATGACATTAGACCTCGTTCTACTGAAATGATTTCCCTAAGGTAAAACAGATACATTTCTTCATTAAGTGGAGCAATGAATGGCTAATGCGGCATCCACTATTAGTTAGGCTCTTCATTAAGTCTCAAGAACTTTCGATGCTCACACAAGAAATATGTCTCACAGAAGCCTCCACTTAGAGCTCCTCTACATTAAAAATTGCTAATTATAAACTGCCAGAAGGCCTTTTCCTCCAAGAGTGTATAGAATAGGGTGACAGAACATTATGACTCATACCCAGCCAGTAAAAACAAACGCTTTTATTTCTCGTTCTTTGATTACAGTTGGAAACTTATGTAACAAAGTTCTAAACTTATCCTGAGATTATAGCAATACATATCTTACAGATTTATAAAATAAAAGCTAGTATTCCTTAACATTTATGTGTATCTGTATATTAAATTATACCTCATATAGCAACTATAATAATCTGCTTATAAATCCATTACTAGGTAAATAAATGAAATAGGAGAGCTACACAGAATTGACTATTTACAAATATATATATATATATATATATATATATATATATATATATATATATATATGTATATACACATATATATGGCTAGTTCCCTTTTAAAAATGAAATAAATTTAAGACAACTTATAGGCTGATTCATACCTCCCAGGCAAAGAAGACAATAGTTTGAGGAGGTAATTCAGTAAAACAGCACTGGCTTCATCTGTACTGTTAATTTTTTGTCATTGTGAAACAGATGTCAAAATGAGCAAGCCTTTTCAAGTACCACTCCTTATTGTACTTTAAGAAAGGCATTAAGTATAAAGCAAAAACTGTCTTTCCAAAAAAAAAATCAGTGATATGTCATTTAACATTCTTAATTATACACCTTTTGACACTTATTCTGACAGTAAATTCATGGAGCTAATATAGTCCAGAGCCAAAAGATCTGCTCATTCCTTAGCTGTTCCAGTCCCCACCCCCATCAATATTTCTCTTTCAGTTTGAAATGGGCTCAAAAAGGAAATCTTAGGTTCCAGATGAACCATGCCTGTTATTTGGCTAATAACTGATAGAGAAATGTCTCATAATGCAGGATAATTAATTCAGGCCCCATAGGTTTTAGGAGATGACCATTAGGTAGATAAAGTCAACAAGAAAAGCCGCTGGCATTTGGAAACTCTCAAGTTCTTCTATGTGGTTGTCAGGTCAATTTATTTTTATACTGACTTTCCATTTTAGTGCTCATTTCAGTAAAGAACACACAACTCTTTTTCAAGTTTAGCACACAGAGAAGTACCAAGATCACTTTAATAAAGTCCTCTGTTGCCTTATGTTGACTGCTGTGGTAAGCATTTATAGTGAGTTTCACATTCAACATAATGGATTAATAAGCTATCTTTGACTTAATGGATTAGTAAAATAAGATGGGAGAGTCCAGAACTCTTAAAGTTTTCTTCTCATAACTATTTACGAGCTGCATACTTTTAAACTTGTCTGCCTCTTCTGTCACAAAAAAGCTTCTCCCATTTTAAGAAATTCCTTCTGCCATGTCCTAAAGCATTAGGCTCATGACTATACTGGCCAAATAAAGTATACTCTTAAAAATAAAGTAGTTTATTTGGCAGGCAGCTACATAGGCCATTTGTGCATTTTTATTTAAAGAAATAAAGCAAGAGATTCTCTGTAGCCGCCATCCTTCAATGTACTCAACCCATTTTCAAAAAATGGTAAAAACAAAACAAAACAAAAGAACCTTTTCCCTTTTGAATAAAAAAGCATAGAAATATTTTAAAGGAATTATAGAATATAGTGAAATGAAAGATCTATTACTTATCCTGAGAAGTCGATTCTCTCATGTTTTATCCCATTTAGTTTTAAATGGTCCTTATGATGAAGCTTTGGCCAGTTGTCTTATAGACTATTACACAATCCAGTTATCTCACTCCTACTCTCCTTTTTTTCAATGCCAATTAGCCATTCCATAGGAGCTAGTGAGCACTCAATCCATGGAGAATACTCTGTTAGGTCCTTAAAGGTAAGGGCATAATCATGGCAAATGTAAATATTATTATATAAATGCAAGTGACAGAAAAATAAATCTTCATAACTAACTATAGGTCTATAGTAGCCAGGAGAGTAGACACTCAATGACATACACACAAGTCATAATAATGCCTGGAAGTGGAGGACACATGGAAATAGAAGTAAGGATTGCCAGAATGACCCAAGGCAGGTGAATTTCTGGAAAGGTGTCTTGGAAGTGGATGAGTTTTAGAGACGGAAAAGGAACAGTTTAGTGGAAGTGAGTAGGGGGAGGTATTTCTGGTTGGGGCAATGTTAAGTGTGATGGCTCAGAGGTGAGAGAGCATCAATATATTCCCACAGTTTTTACAGATATAAACATACTTACCAGGTTTGGGGGGAAGATAGTTTTGCTTTTTATGCAGCAGAGAATATGAGTCAGGGTATATAGCGAGTTGTCTCATAGATCTTCCAAAGGCAGTTGGCAAGGCAGGAGGCCAATTGGTAGATGATCTTAAAGCACCACTTTGGATTTAATTTAATTTAAAGGAACTTTAATTGAATGGGAGCAGCAAGAGAAGCCCACAACAGAGCAAAGTGCTTAGACTCAGAGGTTATTATAGGAAAACAATTCTTGTTACTGCAATGAGGCAGGGAGGCTGGTACATTGACTACTGTAGTAATTTAGGAGAGATATTAGAGACTAGGACCATAACATAAATGGAGGTCTATAAAGCAAATACAGAGAAAGGAAGGACTTTGTGACAGACTGCATTTGGGGACTGATGGTGGCCGAGTAATTGAAGATGCCTCCAAAATTCTGGACTTGGAGGACTAGGATGATCATGATCCCTTTAAGAATATCATTCTGTTTTAGTACTGCTCCACATATATCAAATAATCCGGAGGGATGATATGTTCCAAGAACTTGGCCTATTTTCACAGATGCTTTAAAAAGACAATGAGAAAAAAAATGAAGAAATCCAAAGACAAGGCAAGGTAGCAGCCATCACAGAAGACAAGTTTAAAAAGCTAATTTTAAACTATAATCTTAAAAATAAAAATATATAACACCACCATGTTTCTTATGCTTTAATAACTACTCATTTTCAGTCCAGGGCTTACTTAAGACATTGGTTTCATGCTTCACAGCACATCTGAGGTGTATTCTGATTCTAGGATGAAACATGCTCCATGGCATGCTAAGACTTCCTAAAATATATCAGTTGCCTTTTTTTTTTCCTTTTTGCAGATTTACTGTTCCTCTGGGTTATCTGAGGCAGACGAGCTCTGGATCAAACACATTGTTTTCAAGTGTTCCAGCATCACTTTTTCTTCCTCTTCTAGTGTTTCATCTATCCTCATCTCCCACCTGAAAGAAAAGACACAGTTAGTATTCCATTAACTTTTAAGCTATACCCGACTCTCAGTTATTCAGGGTTTGGTGGTCTAAATTTATGGTTTATTTCAGACTTTATTTCTCTGTCATTTACCCTTCCTACTCTTGGCCTTTTGGGCAACTCGGGTCATTGGCACCCCTCTTGCAAGGTGGGCAACAAGAACAGGAAGGGAAATCCTAACACATTAATTACATCCCTTGTTTGTAGTCCTAACAAAAGGCTTAGAGGGTATAAGGAGGTTTAAAAATAATTAAGTATGAAATTTTGTGGATTTATGCTAACCAGCATAATATATAATCTAGGGGTGGCCAAATTTCACTAGCACTTGTTTTCATTAATATGTTTTGTCTTTCTATCATTTTTATTTACAAATACATTCTTTTCCCCATGCCGTCCTCAGCCAACCATGGCTTATAATAAAAAAAAATTAAAGAGAAAGAAGGCGGTTCAGCAAAATCAACCAAAATATCAATCAAATTTGACAAGCGTAAACAATATTCCACACCTCTAGACACCCACCTCCACAGCAAAGGGGTTGAGGTAATATATTTAAATTTTTTAAATTTTATTGATAGCTTTTGTTTTTATAGGATCTTCATAAATATGTATATATGTCTGTTTGTCTATCCATCTCCCCTTCCCCTAATCCAGTCAGCCATCTCTTGTAACAAATTTTAAAAAGGAAATGATAAGATGGCCCCCTTGATTATCTTCTTGTCATTTGTCTGACCTGTTGCTACCCCCCTCAGACTTTCCCATTCATGCCTCTGCCTGTGTGTGACTCTGGTCTGGTTGTGAAGGCCCTCAAATGCCAAAGAGAGTTTATATTTGATCCTCAAGGTAACAGGGGACGACCAGTGGGGTAGATTAACGAAGTGACATGATTCAGACCTGTCCTTTAGAAAAAATCACTTTGGCAGATGTGTAGAGGATGGATGAGAGAGAAGAGAGCCTTGAGGGAGGAAGATAAATTAGGAGACTAATCCACTAGGAAAGTGGTAACAAAGGCCTAAACTAGAGTGGTAGCTGTGTGAGTAGAGAGAAGGAAATGGAAAGGGAAGATGTTCAATCAATCAATTAATAAACATTGCAGGGGCAGCTGGGTGGCACAGTGGATAGAGCACCGGCCCTGGAGTCAGGAGGACCTGAGTTCAAATCCGGCCTCAGACCAAACACTTGACACTTACTAGCTGTGTGACCCTGGGCCCATCACTTAACCCCAATTGCCCAACCAAAAATAAATAAATAAATAAACATTGCATAGAGTGGTGGGCCTGGAGTCAGGAAGATTCATCTTCCTGAGTTCAAATCATGCCTCCAACACTTACTAGCTGTGTGAGCCGGGACAAGTCACTCAATCTTGTTTGCCTTAGTTTCCTCATCTATAAAATGAGCTAGAGAAGGAAATGACAAACTTCTCCAGTATTTTTGCCAAGAAAACCCCAAACGGGGTCACGAAGACTGAAAAATAACTGATCAACAGCAGCAAAAACCAGTATGTGCTAAAAGCTGTTGTCTTTACCATGCTATCAGAAGAACCAGAGCCCAAACCAAATAACCTCTAGTCCAATATTACTGTGGTGAATGGTTATTATAGAGAATTATCAAATGTCATTTTACAGTAGGAGTGTTGCCAGTAAGGATAACAATCAGAGAATCCTGAATTTATGCCTCATGATTTATGAACCAAAGGATGCTGGTATCAATTGAGACAGCATTGCAACAAAAGAAATGGGGGGCTCTGTTATGTATGTTAGACGTTACTTTAAGAACACTTAGTTCATGACACTATTTTTAGTTCTCTTGGCGTTCTTATGACATTCATTATAGGGTAGCCATCCATATTTTAAAATGGTAAGGCTCGAGCTGCATGGGTTAATGACTTGCCAAGGTAAACTTGCTTTGGAGTCAAGATTAGACTATACGCTGTTTCTGATGGGCTCTTGGTTAGGTCTTATTGCTTTTCTGTCATATATGATGTTGTGATAACACTTTTATAATATATAATTTGTCATATATGATTGTCTAATATATAAGGAAAGATATCAAGGGATAGGGGGACAGGCCTGAAGGGATAATAACTGCTTTTTAAGGTTTTGCATTAATTATCAGTGAAAGAAAATGCAGGCAATTATCTTTCCTTCTGAACCTATCCAATAAGAAGTGAGTTTCTAGCCAGGTCTCTCAGCAGGACTGCTGGGTTTAGAATACCCTGATCAGTTTGGGGGGCCTGGTACAGGAGAGGGAGGAATAAAGACAGGGCGGTGGGAGGGGGAAGGGAACAGATGATGATGATGATGAACAAAGTGGTTAAGCCTGAAAAGAGTCACAGGTCCTCAGCATGGTGATAATAACTGTCTCTTTCCACTTACTTACTCTTCTCTTTGACTGGCTTCTATTCTTTTCCAGCTCAGTCATGGATGTCCCTTATCTCCAAACTCTAACTTAAGTTCTTTCCCTTCTAAATTCTTAATGTGGTAGAAAGAGCACTGAATTTTGAGTCAGAAGGCCTCAGTTCAAGCCTAGGCTTGGTCATTTACCCACTACACTATAGGCAAATCACTAAACTTCTAGGGGCTTCTCTATGCTTGCTGTAAAATGCAGATAATAATAATAATAATAATTTACTACCTCACACAAGGTAATGATAAGAAATGGTGTTCTGTAAATTGTTAGATATAAGTAAATGCTATACATTGAAAATAATTCCCCAGTTTATTGCATGCATAATTAACATATTTGTGGATATACATACATATACACATATATACATGCATATGTACAACGTATGCATACATAGACATGTGTATGATGAAAATCTTTAAGACAGATTTGAGTGATATCCAAAGCAAGTTTTTATAACAACCTGCAAATAAGCAGTTTCTCCACCAGCCTGCTGCAAAGAGTTGGGGAGGTTAATAGCTGTCCTAAATAACCACTGTCAGTATTTCTAAGGTCTCATAATGAGCAAATAGTATAGGTAGGAAAAGAATTTTGACTGTTGTTGGCATTCATTCCTGTTGAGCCCACAAGGCTACCTAAAACTACTTTGGAAACTTTGTAAGATAAAAATTCCTCTGCTACCTGTTTCATGAGTAAACAATCTAATTATTAGCATATATATCAAAAAGAGGGGCAGCTAGGTGGCTGTTGGCTAGAGTACAGAGTGTGGAGTCAGGAAGACTTATCTTCCTGAGTTCAAATTAGGCCTCAGGTACTTATGCGCTATGTCACCCTGGGTAAGTCACTTAACCTTGTTTACCTTAGTTTCTCATTTGTAAAATGAGCTGGAGAGGAAAATGGCAAACCGCTACAGTATTTTTGCCAAGAAAACTCCTCATAGGGTCACAAAGAGTCAGATACGAATGAAAAACAACTTAAACAAAACCAACATCAAACAGAACCCTCAATCAGAAAAACCAAAATGAAGATGATTATGGACTTTAACCATTTTACAAGTATCATTTACCATGGTCAAAATTAGCCCAATAATTTCTACTTTTTCTAAAACTATGGCCTTTCTCCTTTGGGCAGGATTTCAAATAAATTAGGTTATCCCATGAGCGCTCTCAAAACAAAACCAAGAATGCAAAATTTGTTTTGCCCTCTTTTGTTAAAGGTGCTAACATTGTGCTGGGTAAACAAATCCCTTTACGAATGTCAACAGAGCAAAATATGCATATCTGCATAAATATTTTAATCACTAACTCCACTTGTGGAAATTGAAAGCGCAATCTCTTTGTTTCATTAAAAAAATCTGTATAATGAATGTAATCTAAATGAATTGTATACACACTAAATTTCAAGATGAAGATCCTGAAGCTTGGTGACAATCAGGCCCAATATCATTGTGCTTTAGTAATTAGTGATATTAGGCGATGTTATTTACTTCCTAGAACATTTTTACATTTACTTACTTGCACAAGATGAATCAGTACATGACACGATAGGGAAAGATGACAAAAGTAAGAAAACAGAGTGTGCTGGAATTCATGTTTCCCTAAAAATGTCACTCTTACTGAATTGGGAGGAACTGGGACTGAAAACATGAAGTGTATTTGTCCAAACACTTCTGAATTTCACACTTATGGGCTGTATAGATAATTTATATCTAATTGTCACATTCTTGATTGTGTTAACACAGAACAAAAATAAATAGTTTGTTCAGTCACTGTTGTCTAAGAATCAATTCAGTAGACAAAAAAAAATCAGTTAAGCCTATTGTTAAACTTAAAACTGACTGCTGAATTCAATCCAAATAGCCTACACTCTGTCCAAAACAATTGAATACTCATGGTGAATTGATGCTCCTATATGAAACTAGCCCCTGACAGAAACAATCCAATGCCCTGATTCTTTCCCTAGAATTTCTTGCCTCTTTCTTAAGGTCTGTGCCTGTTCTAACTACTGCCACCATCCTCAAGTCTGACACTCACTTCAGTCAGTGGTGGGGAACTGATTATGGAATTGCATCCATATTTCAGAGACTAACAGCTTAGAGCTCCCCCATTGATCATGGGCCTTAGTGACATATATTTGCCCTAGAGAATCTAACTATTGAACTCTGGCATGACATTATATTTACAGGCATCACAACCACTAACTCCTCCAACTTCACTAACATATTGTGTATTTATTAGGTAGGAATTAGAGCTATGTCCCATATGATGAGTCATGAGTCTCATATTCCAGATCACCCTCCAGCTATAATGATTTAGTTGTTACAAAAAAAAAAAAAGCTGAAGGGCTGGGATCAAAATGACATAGGGTAGCCAGTATATAAACTTGGGGGAGGAAAGGCAAAAGGAGTGTGAGCTGGTATTGGTACGCCGGGACTTGTGTCTGCTTCTGTAGTCAGGAATTATTAAGTGCTTACTATGTGCCAAGAACTATGCTGTGTAGGTATTTTTCCAGGTGTGGGCAACCTGTAATCAGGAGCAGATAAATGAGACAAGGGATGAGGTAGTAAAGG